GGTCTCCGCCAATAAGTGGGTGTTACGCGGTGTTAATCGATACCGATCGCTCGTTTCCAGATAAAAGTCATCGAAATGTTGGATCAAAGTGATATCGTTTCCGATGTTGTCCACGTTCTTTCCCTTTTATTCGATCGGGTTATCGTTCGTTATATTGTTTTCCTACGTATCGATATTCGATAGTGATGATGATGATGATGATGATGATGGCGCGACAAATTGACTCGGATGACTCGAATACCGGTATCGGTAATTCGTTTTTGATTCGCTTTTCGAGCGTTGCGTTGGTGGATAGAATGTATCAAGTTGTTCAAACAATCTCCCTCCGATTTCCGCGATGAAAAATGTTTCCTGTTTTGTTTATTTTTATTTTTATCTTTTTATTTTATTTTATTTTTTTTTTTTTTCCCCTCCATTTCATCGTCGTCGTTCCGCTTACCTGTAACCACTCGCAGAGATTCGTCGCGATCATGTGCATCAGACCTAACTTGGCAAGTGCGGTGTGCTTGGCCAAGCTGAGACTTTTACTGTTGAGAAATATAAAATGCATCTGGGCCGTGACCAGCAGCAGCCTGGCACCCGGTGTAATCGCCCTGAACGGGCCGGAAGCTATTTCCGCCCCAATTTGCAATCCCGTAAATACCAACGAGCCAGCGCCAAATCCCACAGCGCCGAGTCTCAGACAAAAGCTCCCGTACTGTTGCGTCTGGTGGGAAACAAAGATTTCATTGTACGTGTGCACGGCCGGTTGAATGCGATCCGCTAATTAGAAAATGGCGAGCCCGAGGATTTTCACGCTGGTTTACGCTGCGAAACATTTGTTTTTCTCCTTTTTTTTTTTTTCTTTTTTCCTTTTTTTCTACAAATTATTCAATGGCCGGGCGTTAACGCGAGCGCGAGAGTCACGAGGGTAATTGGCCTCGTGACAGTCAACAATCGCGCAGGTCGGGACACCTGGAAAGGGATCGCGATCCCTGATCGCCGCCTTCCTTCGTGACACTTTGTCAAAGACAAACATTGGTGGTCGCAAGGGGGTAACGACGTCGTGAAACGTGATTCCAAGTTAATTTTCGAAGCGATTAAATATTTTCGAAGAGCAAACTTTACCTGACTAGGATTTACGCGATCCCCCTTCTCGTCGTATTTCAACGCCTGCTCCTTCCCCCCTCCGCTCCTCCGCTTCACATTCCAAACAGCTTTGTCTCTTAATACGATTACGTACATCGAGATCACGAATGCCACGCTGACCACGTACAGATACAAATAGAAACCCTAACAAACAGGCGTTCCATCGTCATCGTCATCTACGTATTCTCTGCGAGAGAGAAAAATCTATCCTTTCTTTCTTTTTTTCTATCACCGTCACCTGATTCAACGAAGCTGGAACTCTCTCCGTCACGCTGGCCGTTATGGGCACGGCTAACCCTATCACGATCAACAATTTCGCGTAAAGGGTGCTCGTGATGGACACCATTTCCGCGTGGCAATTCCTCCTCTCCGTTGACTTTGATTTCTCTTCCATCATCCGTTGCTTCGCTGCGGAACGTCGAACAAGGCAAAATCTCCGCTCAAAATCGGTGTCGAATCGTTTTTGAAAAGTGCTCACCTTTCATCGGATCCAGAGTGTTGACGCTCACGCAACCCGTGCCAACAGGTGCCAGTGGGAGAAAATTGGGTCGTTGCTTTTGCGCCTCGTGCTCGTTCTTCTCCCCCGATTGATTCCGATTGTTCAACAACAATTGCGTTTTGCACCCCGTTCCCGTTTGACCCGGTAAAAACTCTTGGTCTTGAGGGATGCACGAGGGTAGCGACATGTTGCTGCCTATACCTGAAATCAACGCGCTGTCGGAGGAGAATAGGATGAATAGGGGAGAATGTTTCGTATTTGACATCGAGTCGGGATTCGGGATTCGTACAGAGGTTGCGTTTCGCGCGGTGATTAAAACGTAACAGCGATTCAGGTGGGCGTTCGCAGAAAGGATCGGCAAGGTATTTAACCGTGTCCAACCGCTCGATTTCGCGTCGATACACCCGAACGAAATAAATTCAAACGAGTCGGTGGACCGTCACGTCGAAAATATTTCGTTCGAAAACAGGATTCAATGATCGTAAAATTATTACGCTTTTTTGCCCTCCCGCGTTTCACCGTTGACCACCGTCGTTTCTACCGTTGCCCCTGTAATATTTTACCCGTTATTGATGCATTAACCGGAACGATTAAATCGGTCGCCGTGTTCCACGTGCGCGTCCAATACGTGCAATTATTTGGGGAAAATTAGGGAGGGGAGATAGAAAGAAAAAAGGATTTTGGTTGAATTACCCGAGAAGACCTCTTCGATGGTTCATAACGGCGGTGAAGGACATGCTTTGTCTCCGTGAATGCGACATCCTTCCTCGAGGTGACAACAGGCACTCTTTCCCATCAGCCTCTGACGATAGGGTTATCGATGGCGGCGCATCGCGATTTTTCAACTCGCAACTTTTTTCCCCACCAGATATCGTTATTTGAAAATATACTTTCGATCACGACGCGCTGTATAACGCGCGGGGATATACATTGTTATCAGTTACTCACGTCGTTGTCGTTATATTGGATTGACTATTATTCATAGTCTATCGTCGTTGTCCTCGGGATCGATGGATAGCACTAGCGGCTGAAAGAAATAATGGTGAATATAAAACGAGAAAAGGGAGGAGATTAAAAATAGAGAGAAAGAGAGAGAGACGCGATCGAGCGTTGCTCCTTTCTTTTCATTATATCCCGAAAATGCTATTACATATATATATATGTATATGTATATATGTAAAAGTCACGTAACACACGACGTACGGTTAAAAACTTCTTCTCCACCCCCTTTTCCCTTTGCGCAAACGTTGCGTAACAATCGTTTCGGTTTATTCACCGGCAATGCGTCAAACTTTCCAGCTTCTTCCAGGTGCTGGATAAGCTCGCGACGCCGTATTTGCTCGGCTGTTCTCGGCGCGAGAAACTTGGAAATTTATTCCCGGGGAAAATTCGCCCGCGTTTTGAATTTTTAGCAGGCTGGCCAACTTTCTTTTTCCTCGTCCCTCGCCCCCGTCGCGTTTAAACGGCCGCGACAAAAGCGATTGCTCGCTCGTGACGCGTCACGAGGAACACACCCACGACAAATTCTCCCAATTTCTACCAAATTATTAAATTCTTTTCTCTTTTCGCTCTTCTTTTCCGCTCGTTCGAATCGCGGATCGATTCGACGACCGATTCTACCCCGAACTAATCTCTCCTCGAAGGAACTCCAGAGGGGAAACTTTCCTCCTTGTTTTCGTTTCTCGTTTAGAAACGAAGCGAAACTCGTCGACGACGACGAGGAGGAGGAGGAAGAGGAGTAGGAGGCGAGAGACAGAGGTAAAAGTTGCACTTTATTGAAGGCGATTTCCGACTTGACGATCGCAACGCCGACGCTGCCGTTGTCGCGTCCCACCAACCGGACCAACTTTAACCAACTTTCGTTTGAATCGCGTTAAACGAGTCCCGGTGAACCGTGTCACGCTATCCGCGGGTTCACGTGCCAACTATTCCCACGAATCGCACAAAAGCCACTTGGAACGCGCCTTCGCGGATCCCTCGACTCGATCGTCGTGGCGAAATTTCTGACAACCGAGCGTCTTTCGAACAAGTCACTCGATCTTTCAAGAGTGTAGAACTCGCGTGCAACGTATCAACGAACGGACGAGAAGCTCGAATTTTCGAAAGCGGTGCGAAAATTTTGCGAAACTCGACGCTGCGACCGTTTTTCCGCGAACAATTCCCATTTCGGAATATGCAATGTGGTGCATAATACAAGAGCACGCGTTATTACCTTTCACAAGTTGACAAATTAACCGATACTGTTCCCGAGCGTTGGAAAACGAGTGGATTCTATTAGAGCCGACTCGAATCGAATTAGGAAATAAAACGAAATTTGGTGGAAATTTGGCGGAAAATGTGTCGCACGATTCGACGGATGAATCGTTAGAAAACGTATACGCCACCGATCGAACCACCGTTCATCACCGATCCAACTAACCCCCGACACTCGTCAAACACGTCGCCACACGCGAAGAGGCACGGATCTGCTCGCGATTCGCGCGATTCTGGTCGCCTCGACGGCAGATCGACGAACAATATCAACGATGTCGTTTACGAAATTAGCGAGAAACCGCGAGAAACGTGTGGAACACGTCGATATATACTATAACCAAAGGAAAACATTCGCCTCGTCGTCGAAGCATCGGGATCGCGGGTGATTAACGACGCTCGATCGATATTCTGAAATGGATTCGATTTATTTTATTTTTCGAGTCGCGATATTTGCATTTGCATATCGCTCGATTATCTGAGAATTCAATTTTTAGGAATAATCGGAGCAAGAAATCACGTGATAAATTCTCATCGAAATAGACCCCCCCCCTCTCTCTCTCTCTCTCTCCAAGGCTAGACAAGAAACGATTATCGCTAGATGATCGAGAGAACGAGTGTATCAGATGGAATTTGCGTTAATCGGAAAACACGTAATCCGTAATAGAGGCGATACGTTCAACTCGCCTATACGTTCTCATAAGTGAAACCCCTTCCCCTCCCCCCGGCCTCGAAATTCTGCATAATTTTACGAGACTTCTGTTCCCGTGGTTCCGGGAACGGGGTGGAGGGTGGAGTTTATAGGGCGATTTTCTCGGGCGTAATCCGGTACAAACGAGCCGGTTAAGTGGAGTATAAACTGTTAATGAAGCCCGGTATCATCGTCCACGCGGAACGCCTCCGATCCGTTGTTTGCCGAAACAGTTGGAAAATTTAGACCGTGCCCGCTAAAAGACACTAATTGTAGGCGCAGCCGATAATAGTTAGTACCTGAACCCTAATCACCGGTGTTCGACGCCGGTCGACGATGCTATCGACACGACAAATCCCGATTTGCATCGGCTCCACGTTGTCCTTGCGAGTTTCTGCGCTTAATAACGGGCCGACATAACAAACGTTTTTCTTCCAATATTAGTCTTAATTAGATCGTAAGGAATGACGGACGGAATGAGAAGAAATCGAAGATTTTTCTTTTTTTTCTCTCTCTCTCTAGATTGTTAACGACGATCTTGGACGAATAAAGCGCGTGTGAAATGCTTTTTCGAGGCTTTCATCGAGGATGAAATCGAGCGCGAGGGGATAAAAGAGAGAGGGAGGGAGGGAGGGAGAGAGAAAAGGATCAGGAAGAGGTCGCGAAGCGAGCGAACACGAGCGCGAATCCGTACTCCCAATAGAGTTCAGATTGACGAGAATAATTCGGCTAGATCCGTCGGTTTGACAGCGGTATGGCGATGAATAGTAATGGGTGGATTAGACGCGATGTTCTGGTCCTGGCTCGTGATCACATTTTACCGCGAGCCTCGAAGCCTCGTCTTCGTTCGAGTCGGAAAAAGGTGCGGGTTCGGTCGAAGTTCGGCGCGCACCAAGTTAGGGGTAGAAAATGTAAAAATCGGTGTCGTGTCGTCGGGTGAATTCGTTCGCGCAAGTTTTCGCGAGCAATTTTTATCGAAGAAGATCGATCGTTGATAGGGGATACCTGTTCTTACGTATTGCTCTACCAGCAACTGTACAGAAATTCGATCAAATTGGATCGAGACTTCATAACCGAGAATTAATCTGCACGAAATAAGACATTTTATAAAAAAATTGAATTACATTATTAATTTTGCGCTTGCGTATTCGTTTTCTAACGAAGCAACGTATTGTTCCGACGTATTATTCATCATTGAATAAAAATTTTGAATAAATTGAATAAAATCCGAATTTTCTGTAAATTGATTCTTGATAAAAAAAAAAAGAAGAGAGAAAATTCGGTTGATCGTGATACGATTAATCCTAATCGTGTAAACAGGCACGAGGATGCTACAAAGGATTATAACGACGGTAATGGAATCGAGTATCGGGATGGAAGCTCAGGTGAAGCTCGATTCTCTACGAGGTCGATAATGACGGGAACGGTCCTACCAGGACCTAGGAGCAATCAATCGAAATCGCGCTTGTTGCTGCCTATCCAACCTGCAACCTCTCGATTCTCTCCTGTCTGTCTCCCCTGGCCCCTTTCTCTCTTTCCCACCCCTTTTCCTTTTCCACCGCATCTCCACCTCTTTCTCTTCCTCTCGCTCCCCCCTCCCTGTCATCCGCCCCATCCTCTCCCCCTGCCTCCCCCTCTCTCTCTCTTTCGCCCTGGCGGAGCTGTTCAGGTCCCTCGGCTCGCTCTTGAACCGGGCCATTCAACGAGGACGCCCTTTCGCCAGATTCCTCTTCCCGGGGGCGGAACCAGGGAGAACCGGAAGTGCCCGGATATGAGTTTCCGGCGCGGACAATTTGCAGCGCAAAATTGAATGATCGACTCCGATAACCGTCGTCGTTGCTGCTCGTGCCTACCTATGCTGCCCTGCCACGCCGCTTCGAATTCCAAAGCGGCGGCGGCAACGGCGGCGTTGTCGCCAGCGTTGTCGACGACAACGATCGGCTGCCTACCGCCATTACCGTCGATTCGTTATCGTGATTACCGGGGCTTGGAACGAACCCCGCCGAGGCCTGGAAACGATTCAATCCTGCCCACCCTGCCCGGCCCCATTTTTCGCCTCGCCAAACCTTTCCAAACCTTTCCAATCTACGTCTCTGCCTTAATCGCGAATCGCCAATTTCTCATCCCTATTTTCTCTCGATTAACTCCTCGAACGAACGTCGTAGACGCGAAACGTCGTATTTTGCCAAACATTCTCAATACGCGTTTAATTTTCTTTTCGACGGTTAATTTTCGACGGTTAATCCTCTTCCCTTCCGGACAACTTGCGTTGCAAGTGAAACTCGTGAAAAATACGATAATAAATTTACGCGCGAACGAAATGGCAAGAGAAGATGGCGAGAGAGAGAGAGAAAGAGAGAAAGAGAACATCGTCGAATAGAGTGAACTCGATTTGGTATGGCGACGGAAACGCTGACTGTTTCGTCGGTTTCGTACGAAATAAATACTCGTCGTCCCCCGCGGCCGGCCCCGGGAGGAAGGGAAATAGGCGCGGGATTGATTCGAA